CGCCTGGATGCGCCCAATGAGTAGTCATTATGCAGTGGGGGCTGGAGTTTACTGCCTACAATGGGACCACACATAAGGGCTCCTTTGATTTATAGGGTATGAAAAATGTGGGAATATAAATAATGGATGATTGCTATGTCCTGCTCACTTCAATATATGGAATTGCAAACACAGGAATATACACTACTGGGTGTTTGATGGCAACATAGCAAAACCACAAGATTCTTTCAAAGAGATCATACCACATGGAAAATCCTCAATAAAAGAGACTAGGGAAATAATGATGGCATTCATGCAAATCAAACATCTACCACAAGAATAAATCCATAGGATCATAATCCTATAAAATCCGTGAATCAAAGGACCTAATCCCGTGAATCAAGGAGATCCATGCCCAAAACCCTCATGGCAAGACGGCAAGAGCCACCGCGCCGAACCTCGATAGGAAATCCTTCCTACCTCCGCCGCCACCCACCTCCCTCCCTTGCTGTCGCCGAAGGATGCCATCAGGCTGAGCCCCAGCGGTGGATGGTGGCGGTACCGTGGCAGGGCATACAGTGGTGGTGTTTTCCCCTCTGAATCAGGCGATGCTTCTCCCTGTCGACCTCGGCTTTTCCTCAGGTGTGGCTTCAGGCGGTGCAGTGTAAGGCTGTTGCTTTGTCGGTGTCGTGGCGGTGACCAGCGAGCTAGACGGGGCCAGCGGCCGCGGCGCCCTTCCTGCTCCCGTGCGGCTCTGACTTTCGCGGTGATAATGGATCTATGATCTTAACCTAAGTCTGTTGCGTGACTCATCCCCAATAGCTCGTCCTTGCGGCGCAGACATGTGCCTAGAATAGTAGGATGAGAAGTCTCATGAAGTCATGGCCAGGGAGGCCAAGAGAGCCACACATCACGATGAGCTTGAAAGATCTCCTCCGGACACTCCGGACATTCGCGTGTGAACGGCAGCAGCGTTGCTGCCTCGTCACTCGCCTTACTGTTCAGCCGAATGCACACCAGATGATTGAGAAAAATGTTGGTGATGTATGAGAGAGAAGAAGAGAGAAACCAATGACACGCCTGCGGTTTTCCCTCATTTTTGGTTTTGGATCTCCGGTTTTCAAACATGGACTAAGTGTCAACAACTAAAAAGGGAAAGGACAAGTTTAGACTTTGTGTAAATTTGAGGGACCAAAGCATACTTATATATTCTTCAAAAACCAATAGCAACCCAGGAGTAGGAGCACTAATTTGCGTTGGTACGTGCTTCAGATCTAGTTAGCTCTGACTAGAACAACTGAGCAAAGCTACCTCGCCTTCCCCAGAAATCTCACGCCTCGTGCGCCGAAATCTGAAGTTCAGGATTTCCACACGCTGGAGGATCGCCTATCAAAGCGGGCCAAAATAAGACACGAGAGCCGTTCCTAACTCCTAGTAGACGCCAGGATGAGAAACAAGAGGCGAATAACCGGAAAGATGGCGAGGAATCACGCATGTGGTCATTGCATTATCACCTTGCCGACCAGCTCATGGTTTGGTAGTTAGCTGCACGATACTAAATTTGGAATCTGGGGATTGGCCAATGGGTAGATAAATATAGTCTCTGGCATGTGCCTACGGGCCAACCTCAGATTCAACGTTGAATAGTAAGCGGCAGCACTTGGATCTGGAGGCCAAAGTCGGGTGAGAAGAAAAAAAAATGACATGATAGAGATGGTTTTTTTTTTTTTTTTTTTTTTGCAAACGATGTTAATCAACAAAGCTCACTAATTGAGCATTTTATTCAAGGTACATTCTTTACAAATTAAATTACTAGGATCTACCAAAGTCAAACGTCATTTTTTTGTTTCTAATTCGGTGTTGCTAAGACATTGGATGGCTCAACACACGGAGAGTTGATCTAGGGTATCACCCATGCGGATTCCCTAAGGAGGACACATCCAGTTACATGATGGTAACATGCATGACAATAATGAATTAGAGTACATCATCTTTTTGGGCAATCGATGCTTGGTAGATGTATTCTGCCATAAGCCACAAGATGGTCGTCAACTCGCCTCCACTGTTGAGCTTCTGGGCATGGGACTCCCTGCTGCACTTGTTGCTCGCGTAGACGAGAATGTCCATCCACACGTCAAGGACAAGCCCCAAGGAGTCGGTCGTGCCATCCTTCTCCTTCTCCAGCAGATCTTTGGCGAGTCGAGCCATGTGAGTGAGACGAGGAGCAAGGTGGCTGAACTCGTGGTTCTCATATTCGTCGTACAAGTTATTGGCGAGCTCCTCTCTCTCGGCGACCCTAGAAATGTTGGAGTGTGGGGCATCACGCATCCGGAACAGATCCTTGACGACGCGTGCACGGCTTGGGTACCTAGGATCAACCGATCGCTTGGTGACCAGCCTTTCGCAGGTCCGTTGGTACAACCTCTTTTGGGGCTGGCCCGGCAACATGTAGGGACGTTGCACCAGAAGGAACATCAAGTAGTCGGACATGACCCTAATGGCATGCACACTAGGCGCGGCGTCCACGGCCTTGGCTTTCTCGCTCTTGGTGAGGAAGACCTCGGTGGCAATGTGCCAGATGATGATCCCCTCCTGGAACTCGACACCGAGGGAGTCCATGAGGACGCCGCTGTAAAGCCCACGGCGTACCAGCGGTTCTTCACCCCACTTCTTCCTTAGCATACCTGAGTTGAACTTCCCTCCGGTGTACAACCGCCTCATGTACAAAGCGATGCGAAGCTTGATCTCACCGGACATCTCGACGGTCGCCGAGTAGTGCCTCCTGTTCCACCACTCGTCGAGTGCCAGCGCCCTGGCTAGCCTCCCGAGCAGGGGGCTGGTGAGTGGCGTGTCAGCGGGGCGTGTGCAGAAGTGCAGCAAGTTGTACTGCCCGATGGTGTAGGACCACCTTCTTGACTTGTACCTGCTATCACCTTGCTTGACGAGATGGTGAAGCCACACGACCGCACGCCGGAGCTTGTCCCACCTCTCGTTGCATAGGACCCCGTACCGAAGCCATTGCCACCTGGTGCTGCTCAGGAATGCAAACGTCCACGACGATGCCAGCGCGTTCAGGAGCGATGTCGTCTCCATGAACACGGCGCCACCCAGCAGGACGTAGGTGATGGCCACGTCAGCTCTGTCGTGGTCGTCCTTGGGGGTGAGCTGGAACAGCACCAGCGAGACGGCGGCGGTGAGCGGCGAGATGACGCGGATCAGGTAGCCCATGGAGGTGTGCACCACGGCCGCCTTGGTGTACAAGACGTCGTACATGAGGGAGAGCTCGATCTCCATCAGCGTCCACAGCTCCACGCCATGTATCAGTTTGTTGGCGTCCTCCTCTTCTAGGCTGTCCACGAAGTCCTCCTCGACCACTGAGGAGTCGACGATGGCTCGCTTGCAGATGTGGAACAGCGAGTGAGCACGGCGCAGGTTGAACTCCTCCTCCGTGGCGTTGTCCTGAGGGTGGTAATGCTTGTGGATGGCCGGCAGCCGCGTCTTGAGGGAGGCGCCTATGCTCTCCAGGGTGCTGCACCTGAGCGCCCATGTCCTCTCCGCGTACTTGACGACGCCGACGGCGAACATCATGTAGGAGGCGCCCCGGAGGAACTTCCCGTCCTCGCCGCCGGCGACAGCGATGTGTTTGTAGAGGACGTAGCCCGCTCCGAGAACCTGCACGACGAGAATCTGGAGGTGGCGGAGCCAGAGCTGGTTATCCTGGAGCGCGTAGGCAGTGATGTTGTCCGGGCCGCCGAGGTGCAGCAGCAGGAACGGCGCCCAGAACGCCACCAGCCGGTGCTCGCGCACCGTGCTGCCGAACGACAGGTGGCCGACGGCGTACACGGCCGTGGAGTCGGCCATGAGGTACGCTAGCCACAGAAGGAGCCTCCGCACGGGAAGGTTTTGACGCCGGCGGATCCCGGCGAAGACGAAGAGGACGAGCTGGAGCCCAAGGCTGAGGAGGACCAGGATCTGCATCGACCGGTGGTTCCATAGCTCCAACGGCCCTGCAGCCATACTGATTGCTCCTCTCCTGGATGATTTTTCACGGTTTTGGTTTAGAACTTAAGATGCAAACAATTAGAATAAACCAAAAGAATCCACAAAAGTGCAAATGCATACATAGTACATTATCATGTACTACAAGAAACACATCGATTTTGTCCATGGATTTGTTAGTTCTGAGTTGCCTATAGTTTCCCCAAGTCTCTATCATAGTGTATATCCTCTAAAATTGCACAATTGTACATTACAGAGTATACGTGCATGTGAATTTTTACACGCACAGCGAAAGAAAATGTGCTTATGTAACTAATGCTCGCGATCAAGTACAACTGAGCGATGGTGTATGCACAATTACATACCGGCCGGGCAGAAGAGGTTGCAGCTTCAAATTCTGGGACAAACTTGTCGATGAGACGAGGGGGCGGCGAAGCAGGAAATTAACGGCGGAGGAAGGCACGGAGGAGCAGTGGCCAGTGGACGGCACTACACACTAACCAGTGGCCATGCCAAGTCGATCAGAAGTTCGTTGGACTTAAGAAAGGGACAAGGAAGCTTCCTGCTTTATAGATGTAGATGGAGATGGATCAACCCGAACTTAGTGCTAAGCTGGCAGGATCAAATATATACTATGGTACACTAGTATATTGTTCATTTATTTTATTTTAATCCCGATTTTTGTACTAGGGTGCGTACACTTGTAGATTAGATTAAAGTTGCAGTTGCAAGTAGATTAGATCAAGGGAGCTGCCAGTGGCATGCCGGAGTATAACCTGCTGGACCTGCATATCACGCCTCTCTTCTCTTCAGGATATCACTTACAGCATCTACACATCCTGACTCCTCAAATTGACCGGGCGAGCATGGGACCACTGACCGGACAGGAAAGAGACGCAAAAAGTAGTAAAAACTTGACTCAATCGGATCCCTCATATCCTCCCTATATGTCCGGGCTGTCCGCGAACTTTCATATCCATCTCAAATATGGAGAGGATATAAGGGCTCGTGGACACGCCCGGGCGTGCCCGGTCAATCCGCCACATAGGACGCAGCCCCACCCCGGACCATCTTTTCTCTTTCTTTATTCATTTTTTTCCTTCTCTCTCTTCATCTCCACCAACCACGTGCAAGTGACCAGACATATGAGCAAGAAAATGAGGATTGTGACTGGATGGAAAAAATAGGGGCTCAAAATGGACACGCCCGATGGGCGTGTCCACGGGCGTTTGAGGGGTCGAATTAGAGGTACATGGCTGAAGATGCTCTTATATATAGAACTAGAAGTAGCTGTAAGTTTGGTCGAGTTCTGGTGTACTTACAGACTAATCATAGGGAGTTGAATTTATATGATGAGGTGGTAACATCTGATTGGAGGGGGCTCACAGCAAATTCAGGAGGATTAGTGGGCGATTAGTGAAGGAATTAGTTCAATTTTGTGACACCATTTCGCCTGTATCAGTTCCCTGGTGTCATCTTCTTTTTCAAGGATGTTTTTTGCCATGTATTTGGTGGTAATTTGCGTGATGGAGGATGTCATCTCTCGTTAGTATAAAGTTTTTTTTCTTAAATTTTATATCAATTACAAGATGTATAAGGTGTATTGGTTTCCATGCAAGTCAACCATTTAAAAGTTTGACCAAGATTATAGAACAAAATAGAAACATCTACAATACCTAATAGATAAAATATGAAACTACCTTTCATGATCGATCAAATGATATAAATTTCATATTGTGGATATTGATATATTTTTCTCAAAACTTGGTCAAACTTGCACTCGTTTGACTTTTGAAAAAACAAATACACCTTATATAAAGGAACGGAGGGAGTATTATTTATTTATGTCCTTATGAACACATACACACACGATTCAAATCCATTACCTTACCTGGAGAGCAGCGAAGTTACAATAGAATTCAACAAACTCTGAGCTCTAATCGATGTGCTCAATTTTGAATATGGGCCTCCCATCACCCATATTTGTTAAATGTGGGTCTAGACTCTTGGGGTTGTTATTAGGTTTAATAATTAAAAACCATAGTGATCAAAACGTCACAAGGTCCAAACCTTCCCTATTTCTAAGCCAAACTCACACAGAGACACAAAGGCAGCAATGATGGCGTCACTGAAGCTTGCCGCTTGCAATGGGAGCTACAATTTCCAACTCCGCTCACTCTTTGCTCTTTTGTATATATGAATAAGTGTAACAACCTGAAGACTCACCTTCAAAAGCATTATCTTTTACTGATCAATTCTAGAATCATGAACAATTATTGCATATGACTAGCTTATAAACAAGATCCAGGGTTAACACCAAGCAAACCACAAATATTATGCTTGCATCGTGATACCCTTGTTGATGTAGCAAAACCATGAGAAAAAAGGCGTAACACCTATAAGGATCGCGTGTGGTATTTCTCCTGGACGGCGTATGGAAGCGAGCCATATGTAGTGCAAGAGCAAGCCAGTTTATCACAACAATATATGGGAACTTTATTCATAGCATAATTAGCTATTTTTATATTTAAGTCTTGAAAATATAGAATTCCTAACCAAGTTGAGAATGAAGTCCCAACTTATCTGGCTGGTAAAACATCAACTTGCTATTGCATCATTAGCACGACAAGAGAAGTTAGTAAAAGACAGTGATATTTTTATTTTCAAATTTTGATAGAGTAGATTAAGAGGAATTTTAAGTATATAGAAGGTGAGAGGGAATAAAAGATGAGGGATATAGATAGTGGACATAGGCATGACATCATTTAAATTGACATAGCCATGATCATGCTTGAATTAACAAATAGTTAGCCTATGCTTAACCTATGGCTAAATAAATTAATAAGCACCTAATCAACCTAAACCTAACTAATCTAATATAAAACAAAAACATTGCATCCGGTTGAATCAAACTAACCATAGAAAAAATAGCACCACTAAACGTAGCAAAATTGTAGCAAAAAAAATCATCGCACAAAGGTGGGTACCACGCGACATTATACCTTGTTGTGGGAGGGCGGCGATGGCTACAACAAGGCAATGATTTTTTCTTGCGTAGCGATGGTATCGGGTATTCGCCGGCCACCCCCTCCAAGCGGCCTATAGGGCATCATCTAATGAAAGAAGAGGCGACAACGGCAACGGGGTCTAGTTATCCAGAGACCATATGAGACCCGTCGGTCTCGCCCGCCAAGCAGCCTCGTCCACGATGAGGAAGCCATCCTGAACGTGCATATCCTTCCCTTCACCTGTATGCATTGCAACATTTACTCCGCGCGAACAAAGTTGAATCGTCTTTTCTAAATAAAATTACAAGTGAAGCAGCTTTTTTACCATTGTTGTTGGATCTTGGGATAACAAAGAGTGCTCCCAGTATAAGAAACACATGGTTACTGAATCTTTATCCTCTGAAAAGTAAATTTGAAGAGATACATGGTTAACTGCCTTACTGGGTAACTGTTCTAGGCTCCTGACAGGCTGGCGCTGGCCGGCTTGCTGGCGTGGGCGCCTTGCGGCGTGCCCCCCTCCTTCCGGCGGGCGGTGGCCCACTCCCAGTCTCCGACAACCTCCGATCTGCCGCAGCCGAGTCCGGCAGCGGCTACTCGAAGAACGGCGAAACCCTATTTGAGGCCTACAGCGACGCCAGTTGGGCTGGCCCAGTCAGCGAACATCGCTCAAGTTTTTGTAGGCTTGTAGCGTTTTCTCGTTGCTTTTTATTCTGTTCAGATCAGATATTTTGTTCTCTTTTACCATTTTCCTGTTTTAGTTGTTTATTTATTAGGAAAAGGGCCCGTGCACTGCAACGGAAAAAAAAATTCATAATACTTAATGGCCATTACCAAATTTTGCTGCATCGCCAAGATGGTATTTGCAAACATTTTCTAAATTTGATGAATTTTTTTTAACAATTTACTTGAACCGGACAACATTTCGTGAATCGAAGAACATTTTTTTTGGAAAATTCACGAACATTTTTTTGATTTAATAAATATTTTTAAAATGCAAGATCATTTTTGAATCGGCGAGCATCTTATTAATGAATAAACTATTCTGTAAGTCACGAAAAGTTTTTGAATTTTTAGGATATTTTTCCATTCACGAACATTTTTTGAATTGGCGAAATTTTCTTAATATTTTTTATTATGTGAACTTTAAAAAAATCATAAACATGTTTGATTTCCTGAGCATTGATTTCAAAATTTCTAACATTTTTTGAATAAGCAAACATTTGTTACAAAATCATGAATATTTTTTTGAAACCACAAATATTTTATGATATATTAAATATTTTATTTTTAAATTATCATTGCTATTAATTTTTGGAACTTCTTTAAAGTTCCAAATTATTTACAATAGAATAAAACTAAAATGGAAAATTGAAAAACAGGTTGCCCGGAGGCCGTACCAAATGGATGTGTCGCGTCTTCTCCCAGCGTGCAAAGCATACTATAGGAGGTCTCTACTGTATGGGCGGGCCCAGTGGGGGGATTCCTCTATGTAAAGTGTTTTTTTATCACTTATATGTGACATTGCTGCATCATATTTTGCAACTTTGGGGCAACTTCTGCGTCGTACCGCCAGAAGCAATAGCCCCTTTATTATTAGGTATATAGATTTTTAGGTATTTATTTATTTATTTTTGTTTCCTTTTTCCTTTGGATATTTTCTTTTTTTAAGTGAACATTGTTTTAAAGAAGCTGGACTTTTTAAATGTACGATGAACTATTTTTAATATACGGTGAATATTTTTTAATTCATAAGAATTTTTATGAACACACGCCAAACATTATTTTTTTATTTTTGAAAATATCCTAAAGGAAAAATGTTACAATTTACAACTGACCAAGGAGGAAAAAACGATTAGAAAAATGCGTGGGCCAACCCATTTCTATTGATTTCAGGGGTCGGCTGAAATGGGCGTCGAACTAGGAGACCTCACATACGGTAAAAAATACTAGGAGATCTACTTGGAATGGGGTTGTGGCCTTGTGACTTCTGAGTGTGGTACTACAGTCAGT